CTGTAAAAGTGAGTTCTAATGTGAACTGGTCAATTGCTACCTGTTGGGTTCAGCCTTGACAACAGCAGGTTATAGTACTGGACTACCTAGGTTGCCCAGAGAAGCTGTGGCTGCCCCATCCCTGGCAGTGTTCAAGGCCAGGTTGGACACAGGGGCTTGCAGCAACCTGCTCCGGTGGAAGGTGTCCCTGCCTGTGGCAAGGGGTTGGAACTGGAGGAGCTTTAACGTCCCTTCAACCCAACTCATTCTGCAACTCTGCAGTGATTTGAACTTAATGGTGCACTGCCTGATGAGGGGAAGATGTGATTGATCACATTAAGTGTAATGAGCTAAGATTTGGATTGCCCGAGTTGAAGCATGCTGATGGCAATGAAATAAGAACCTGATGCAGGATCAGCCACCTCAAATCTCTCTCTGTATTCCCCAAACCCACCGGTTCCTCACCTCTGTATGCACTCCTCTACGTGGTGGTGGCTCAAGGTCCATGTGTTCCCTGCAGGTTGCTCGCTGCAAACAGCTCATCTGTGACCCCAGCTACGTCTCGGACCGCGTCACGAAGGTGGGCCAAGTGATCCGGGTAATCTGCATCCTGAGCCACCCCATCAAGAACACGAACGATGCCAACTCGTGCCAGATCATCATTCCACAGAACCAGGTCAACCGGAAATCAGGTGTGTGGGGAGCAGGGAACACTGGGGCATGGGCACGTCTGGTCCTGCTTGGGTTGAGCCAGAGTGGATGTTAAATCTCCTTGCACCAAACGTGTGGTCTGGTGAGGTGTGAATCCAATGGGATTCCCATTCCAATTGCTCCCATGGCAACACGTCCATGTCCAGAAATCCTGTAGGTCCCAGTGAGGCTACACCATACTTTAGTTTAGCTGTGAGAAGCTGGGGAGCATTTACCACTACTTTGGGCACTGTGGTTACCCCATCCCTGGCAGTGTTCAAGGCCAGGTTGGACACAGGGGCTTGGAGCAAGCTGCTCTAGTGGAAGGTGTTCCTGCCTGTGGCAGGGGTGGACCTGGATAATTTGAAGATCCTTTCTAACACAAACCACTCTTGTGATTCTGTGGTTGGAAAGTTGTTTGAGGAACCCACAGAAGGAAGTGCCCCAACCCCTGAAGTGGGTGAGGAGCACAGGGGTGTCCTGGGAGGGGGGCAAGGAAGGGAAATGCTTCCTCACCCTTGTACAGGAGGTGTCTGGCTGATGGGGGCGATCCTGGTGGCTTTCAGGAGCTGGGAAACTAAGTTCTGGAGATCTAAGGGCTGCTTGTACCCAGACTACAGCACATAGGACAGCAGGGCAAGGAGACACGGAGGTTCAAAGTGTTGGGGGAGCAGGAAGACAAGTGTGAATGCAGGCTGGAGGAGGCTTTCGGTATGTGGCAGGGGGGTTGGAGCCCTGACCTGAGCTGTTGGCTTCCCTTGCACGTCCCAACCTGTCCCCGTGGTGGGTTCCCCAGATATCTACGTCTGCATGATCTCCTCTGCACACAACGTGGCGGCGCAGGGGAAGTACATCGCCATCGCCAGCACCACTGTGGAAACCGCGGACCCTGAGAAGGAAATCAAGCCGGCCTTGGACCTCTTGGAGCCCATTGAGCAGAAGTAAGGCCCTGAGCAGTCCCTGCTCTCCATTCTCACCCCTTTGCTTAAGGCATGAAGGTGGAGGGCACCTGAAGGCCGTTTGGCTGTGAGGAGGTGTTTGAATTCCCTCTGCGCCTCAGTTACACACTGGGCATAGGCATGCCCTTGAATTCATGCAGCCTTGCACCCATACTGATGCTCTACAACCATTCTGAAGCTCTTTCTTCTCCTTCCAGGTTTGTCAGCATCAGTGACCTGTTTGCACCGACTGACTTGGGAACTGAAAGCCAGGTGAGTGAGTGCTGGTTGCACAGAGGCCTTGGGCACCATGGTCTAGTGTGAGTCATCTCTGCCAGTGGCAGGGGGGATTGGAACTGGATAAGATCCTTTCCAACCCAGACCATTCTGTGATTCTATGAGGTGGGGAGGTTGGAGACTCCACACTAAACTGCTGCCTCTCTTCCCAGATCTTCATCTCTCGCACCTACGACGCCACCACTCACTTTGAGACGACGTGTGACGACATCAAAGATATTTATAAGAGGATGATGGGGTCAGAGTTTGATTTTGAAGAGATGAAACGCAAGAAGAACGATATCTATGGGGAGGAGGAGCAGCAGTAATGAGGATCCCTGCAGGAGGAGAAGTTCAAACCGGCTCATCTGAATATATAAAGAACTTAATGAACACTGTACGAAACTCAATATTGTAAGGCCTGCTTTTGTAATCCCATCTCTGAGAGATTGAAGAGTACTGCACTGGTAATGATGTTCCCCTTTTTTGGATGTGTTAATTATTTCGTTCTAGTAGGGCTGCTGTCCAGAATCTGGCAAATTACTCACTGATTTAATGACTAACCTGGGTAAGCAAAGGCAAACTGAACCTTGGGTTTGGTGGGTTTCTCTTTGCAGACGTAGACGTTGGTGCAGATCGGAGATAACTCATTGACAGCTGTGTCTTACCATGTCTTTTTAATCATTCGTAGCCATCCTTCACAATTATGTGCTTCTGGTGAGCTAGTAGATGTGACAGTTGTCACTCAAACCTGATTATCAAGGAAAATAGAAACTGAGCACTCCATCATTGTGGACAGCATCCCTAAAAAAAGTCTTTTTCCCATCGATCTAACTCTGTGGCAAGTTGTATTATGGACAAAGCCCACATCTATTGTAGCAGCAAATGTTGGCTTAGTTCTGGGCACAGAACTTAACCCTCCACTTTAAGCTTCTAAAACTGTTTACATCGGTTGGGACACAGCTGTGCCTAAGGCTCCTTTGTGTTTTAATCTTATTAAAATTGAGAGAACAAATGACAGAGCAGGCAAGACGTGGGAGTATTTTCTGTAGCCTGGGGGCTTCTGGGCTGGACCAAACGGCGCTGCGGTATTGGTATGACAGAGCCTCTGCTCCTCGTGGCTCCTGAAGGCTCCAAATGATTTCTGTACTGCCAAGTAAAGCCAAATTCTGGAAACCAGTCCTGGCCTCTGGTCTGATTCACTTGCACGAGCAGCACCTCCTTTCTGAGATCCCTTTGGATCTCTCTGCCTGACAGGGTTGAAAGGGGAGTAGTGTGTGGAGTGGTTCCTACTGGAAACCAGGCTCAGGCTTCCTCGGTTAGGCTGCCCCAGAGGCTGCTTCTGCAGCACAAGGTCTGTTGCTGAGTCTCAAGCTCAGTTGATTCAACTCTGCCTCCTCCCTGCAGGCCCCTCCAGTGCCAGCATCCAGAATGGCACTTGCTTGAATCAGTAATGACAATTCTTGCTCTTATGGATCCTCTGCAGGGCATCGAGATTTTTCTGACTGAGGTGCTCCTCCTTAGAGTGAGCCTTAGTGAGCCCCTTGCTGGGATCTTGACCTAATCCTGCTGTTGGGCAGCAGGGGTACAAGGAGGAGCTGGACTCCTTCCTCCACAGCCACGATGAGTGCTAGGAATAATGAGGGGATGCCTTGGCAGGGCCTTCTCCTGCTCTTGATGTCTGTGCTGGGGCAGGCAGGGTCACTGGGGATGGGTTCATCCTTTCCTGCAGCTGTAGCTGTGCTGTTCTTGGAACTGATGAAGAGGAACTGGGTCTCCACCACATCTCCTGCACCAAGCGGTGCTAAACCTGATTGTGGCTGCCCCTTCCCTCCCACCCAGGGGCTCAGGGGCTTTCAGCACTTCCCTTTCCTGGTCCCAGTTCTGGGAACAACCTTTCCCTATGAAGCCACTGGAAGCCCCGTGGTGCCGGCACTGCTGGAGTGACGTGTGTTGTGGTGGCTGGGGAAGTTCTTCCTCACCTTGTCCTTCCTCTTCAGTGTTGGATGGCAACACACTGAGTCTTTCCAAAGGCAAGACATGGACAATGAGCTCTTTCCCCTAAATGCTTCCATAAGCCCTCTTTGCTGTATCCCCATTATTCTGCTGCCTCTTGGTCCACATCTCCTGGGAAGGACAGTGCTGATCCTGCAACCCCAAGTCTCCATGAACACACCACTCCTTGGCTCCAACAGTCTTCCTCACTGTTTCCTTCCTGTGTTGGCTTCAAAGCTGAGGGGTAACACAGACCAAAACCGATTCCTGCTCCATGTGTGAGCTGGGAACGCTCACTGGGACTATTCCCACTGTGATCCAGCACCTCCTCCCTGCTGATGGGAGAGGCTGGCAGCTGAGGAGCCCCTCTCCAGGGAACAGCAGTGGCTGAACTGCCAGGTTGAGGTTTTGTTACTCAACCTTTACACATAAGCCCACCCTGTACATGATGTTCTTAAACTCTTTTATTAGAAACAAGAGGATGCCCCTATCCTCCGCCCCCGGGAGGCTGGGAATTGTACAAAAGTCTTTAACGTGACATCTTCTGCCTGGGGTGGGTGTGAGCTACCATAAATAAGAGGTTTGTTCCCACAGCCTGGTGTCTGGCTATTCAGAAGACTCCCATGGACTGGAAGTGTACCAAGAGACAACAGGGAGTTGAACTGTAGTGTAGAGCAGATACCTGCACACCCACCCCACTTCCTAACGTGTGTTACAGGAACAACTGTGTGGAAATGCACCTATTACTGAGGACTTGAATATCTCCTGACCTTCAAGTAAACAGCTTTTTGTTTCATTTACTCCTATTTCTTCCCCTGTCAGCTGCACAAATCACTTGAGAACACTCCAATAATTTAACCCTGGATAATGGTAAAGTGACCTCTGGCCTACAGGCAACATGATGAACACGGAGTAAACCCCTGGCAGGATTTGCATCAGCCACCTTTAAATAATTCCTATATACAGAACCGGAGCCAAACCATCCTGCCACTCCCTGCACACAGCTCCTGTGGGCAGCACCTGAAACCTGCTGGGACGGAGGTGTCCTGCAGAGTACCAGGGTGCTCAAACTGGTGCCATACCAGGGTGCTCAAACTGGTGCCATACCAGGGTGCTCAAACTGGTGCCATACCAGGGTGCTCAAACTGGTGCCATACCAGGATGCTCAAACTGGCTTCGCTTCGTCACCTACAATAGAGAACACAGGAAAGGTTATTCCTCTGCTCCTCTCCTTGCTCCAGGGAGTGACAACCTCTTTGCAGGGCCTCCCCATGGTGTGTGCTTCCCACTGCTGAGCACGGTCCTTCCCAACTGTGGCTTTGGGAATGGCCCTGAGTGTCAGCAGAGCCAGCACTTGGGGAAGGTCCCTGGATCCCAGCTTCCTGCTTGTCATCCCAGGAGCTGCTCCCAGCCCTTTGGGGGAGTTCTGGGCCCCTCACTACAAGAGAGACATTGAGGTGCTGGAGCGGGGCCAGAGAAGGGCAGCAGAGCTGGTGCAGGGCCTGGAGCACAAGTGTGATGGGGAAGGGCTGAGGGACCTGGGGGGTTCAGTGTGGAGAAGAGAAGGCTCAGGGGGGACCTGATGGCTCCCTCCAAGTGCCTGAGAGGAGGATGGAGCCAGGAGGGGCTGGGCTCTGCTCCCAAGGAACAAGGGATGGGACAAGAGGAAACGGCCTCAAGCTGCACCAGGGCAGGTTTAGATGGAGCTGAGGAACAATTCCTTCCCCAGAGGGTGCTCAGGCATTGGAACAGGCTGCCCAGGGCAGGGCTGCAGTCACCGTCCCTGCAAGTGTTCACACACTGTGGAGATGAGGCCTCAGTGCCATGGGTTAGTGGTGGCCTTGGCAGTGCTGGGAATGGTTGGGCTGGATGAGCTTAAAGGGCTTTTCCAACCCGGCTGATTCTGTGATTCTAAGGGGTTGATCCCAAGCCCTTTCCTTACCAGTAGCTTCTTCTAAACGGAGCAGCCACTTTCTGCACCTTCCCAAGGAAAGTGTTGACATCAGCTACCAGGATCCCTTTGCTTTCAAGGACCTCCCTGCTGACACCAGGTGTTTCTGCAAAGGAAGGGACAGCTCTATAATTCTAACAAGCAACTGAGGTTGTTCTGCACCAACCTCTGCTCCCTGTGAGGGTGCTGAGGCGCTGGCACAGGGTGCCCAGAGAAGCTGTGGCTGCCCCATCCCTGGCAGTGTTCAAGGCCAGGTTGGACACGGGGGCTTGGAGCAAGCTGCTCTAGTGGAAGGTGTCCCTGCCTGTGGCAGGGGTTGGAACTGGATGAGCTTTAAGGTCCCTTCCAACCCAAACCTCTGGGATGCTATGAATTTAGCAACCTTCAGACCAAATCTGTTCCTTTTGCCTTTTACTGCACTGACTTGCAATGAATCAGCTCCCACCTGACTGAGACAAGGGGGGCACAAAATTACAATATGAGGTATATAAACTTTTAGAACCAGTTCTAAGTAATGTTAAGTTTCACAGCTTTGGAACAATAGCAATGGAAAATTACTGAGGTTCATGATGCACAGAAAAAATAGAGTACAGCTAGAGAACATACTGAGAATTCTGGTACAGGATAAACCGCTGCAGTTGACGTAGTTTTAGGCCCTATGACCTTAGTGCAAAATGACTGTAAGAAAACCAGGCTACAGAGATAAGGAGTATCTGGGAATGGCAGGTGTCCAGGATGGGCTGCAGCTGAGCTAACTGATACGTAGGACAGGAGGATTGTTATGCCTGTGGTGCTAACGAACCAAATAAGCTGCTATAAGCCAACTACAGCGCGTGCTTCGAAGGCTGCCCGAAGTGATGAAGATTGTTGGAAGAAGTAAACGACCCTCAGAGACCACCACAATTCTGTGTGCATGCGGGGAACCTTCTGGAAAACGATGTAATCCATATGTAGCCTCATGAATATGTATGTATGCCCAGGGACTATATAAGGATGGCCTGTATAGCAGTATGGACACACATTAGGAGGAGCTATCCCCCGTGTCTCCCTGCGCTCCAATAAAGAATTCCTGCTTGTCAGCTTGAAACTCTGCTGGCGAGTTTGTGCCTGGAGATTTCTCCAAATCATGGCCCCCACCTCAAATCACTGCTTCCAGCAGAAATGGGAGGCAAATGGGTGGGTTTTGTCCTTCCTCCATCCCTTTCCAGACCAGTCCAACCCTGCGCTCACGGTGTTGATGGCTCCAGCCCCCAGAGCTCTCCTTACCTGTGAGGTACACAGCGAACCTGGCGCTGATGTGCTGAACCTGCAGGTTCAACAAGCACTTGACGTGCTCAGAGCTGGGGGGTGACACCGAGTCACACGTGTGGTAGTGCAGCACCTCCATGAGATCAGCTCCTTGGCACGTTCTGAGGATCAAATGCTTCTTGTGGGCATTGGGGTCCACCCTGCTGGGAGAGGGGACAGTGAGCAGGAACGACGGGACCTCCCTTCACACTATGTGTGGTCCTTCAGCATCATGGGTGCTTTTAGACTTGCTGCCCTGCACCAATGAAGATGGCAGGAGCAGCATCACTGTAGGGGTTACGTGTGTGGCAGGGAGACAAGATGATGCCAACCCCAAGATGAGGTGAAGAGAGCCCCCAGAGAGGGGCTCTTCATCAGGGACTGCAGTGACAGGACAAGGGGTGATGGGTTCAAAGTGAAATAGGGGAAGTTCAGGTTGGAGATAAGGGAGGAGCAAGCAACTGCCTGTGTGGGGCTGAGTTGGGGTTAAACCACGAGACAGGGCTCATGATCCCTTCACAATGGAGTCAAGTGATGCTACGTGAGAGCCAGTGATGCAGCACAAGAACACTGGCTCCATAGCACAGCCAGTGATGAGGTCGGGTCCTCATCTCAGCCTGCAATGAAACACCCGAGTTCTGTGCCACTGCTGAAGGGCTGAAACCCACACTGCTCTGTGCTGTCACCATAAAGGCTGAGTAGGGAGAGGATCTGAGAGTTCTCCTTGTTGGCTGTAGCATCTTCTGCTCACAGAACAGAGCAGTTTCCTCTTGGTTTGCAGGCTGTTACTAGAAAGCCATCCCCTCTGCCTAACAAAGGGACTTGCCTGATAAAAACCTCCCTTTCTGAGTTCAAACCTGGTAAAAGCAGGACATTTCAATGGATACCAGCTGCTGTCTTACTTCTCCTTTTCAAACTATCATTTAAATACACACTGGTGTAAGTAACCTAAAATAAGGAGTAAAGAGCAACAGCAGTTCTGCTTTTCCCATCTGGGTTTGTTGTTGTTCGCTCCCCACAACACCCCTGTTCTTCACCACGTTCCAATCAGAGCTGCCCATCACTCCCCCAGATCCCGCATGTGATGGGATAGAAGAAGGGACAGCAAGGAGACACTGGGCACTGGGGCACAGAGAGGGACCCTGAGCTCCTGGAGGGTGTGTGCAGGAGCTGGAGGGATGGGAGCTGTTTGCAGAGGTGGTGTTTGGAGCGTGCAGCTCCTCACATGCAATCTGTGCCTCCCCTCAAGCCCTTTGCAGGCCATAATGCTCACAGAGGGTGTCTCTGCCATAGAGAGGGAACTGCCTTATGGAGGCCCAGCAGGGTGCAAGAAGCTGCTGCCAGAGCCCTGCCTTATCCTGGATCACGTGTAAGACAGCTCTTCAGGCCATCTGATGCTCTCAGGCCCCATGTCCTGCTACTCCATCTCATACAGGTGTATCTAACACAACCTATCACACTCCCTAGCACTCCAGTGCTGACCTCCAGCAATTCCAGACTTGAGGCACGCGATCTCTCACTGATAAGTTCTTCAAATTCATCTTGTAACAGGCCAAAACCCACCCAGCGGCACCAAACTCACCCTGTGGCCCTGCTCCGAGGGCACTGAAGGGGACACCAAGGTGGGTACATCCTTACTGTGGTGACAGGGACAGCAGGGATGAGGGAGCTGCCACCACTGAGCCATTACCTGATGTCTTCTCTGAGCTTCTTGCTCTCCTTGTAGTGAAGGAGCCACTTCCACCTCCCGCTTCTGTTGAGCTTCTCCAGCACGTTCACCACCTCCTTCAGTTGGCCTGAGGAGACAGCAGGAGCCAAGGGGTAACTGAGGGTGGAAGGAGGTCCCTGGCCCTGCCCTGCTCAAAGCTGGACCACCTGAGGCTGTTCTAGGTGAGGTCCGAAGGTCTCCAAGGATGCAGCCTCAAAACACTGGGATCCTGGTGTTGAACACACTTGCTGTGAATTCCTTCCCCCCTAATATCTAAAGGGATCAGTGCAACTTGTCCCTGTCACCTCTCATCCCAGCCCTCTGCATCTTGAGGAGGAACGTGGTTCTGCTGTCTCTACCACTTCCCATTAGGGAGCTGAAGACAGCAACAAGGTCTTCCCTTTGTCCTCCCTTTTCCAGGCTGTCCTTGTACAACCTGCTCCAGCCCCTGACCATTCTGCTGGCCCCTGCTGTACTTAGATGTTTTGGGGAGCCCTGACCTGGACCCGTTATCCAGATGGGGTCTACAAGTGTCAAACAGAGGGAAGGAACTTATCCCACTTAAAGCAGGAGCAGAGGACACCCATGGGGAGTGTCTGGAGGTGTCAGCAGACAAGGCCAGGAGCTGACACTGTGTTTGCCTCCAAGCAAGAGGCCACAAGACTTACCCAGTGTCACCGTTTCCAACAAGCCATCATCTGACACCACGAAGCCACCAGAATGAAACAGCTCCTGGTACGTGTGACCTGGTACATCTTCAGGGCTGTCCACTCCAGCAAACACCACGTTGGGACGGTGCTTCAGCTGCAGCAAGCAGGGGACCTGCAGAAGGAAGAGATGCTTTTGAACATGCAGCTGCATTTCAATTGCATTTGCACTTCTCTAAGAGTCACACTTGCTCCAGGGAGCCCATCCTGTCCTCTGCCTGTAGCACCCCAACACCCCTGTCTCCATAGCCCAATCCCAAAGGCATTGATGGTGATGGATGATGGTGGTGAGACACTGGAGCAGACTGCCCAAGGAAGTGATGGATACCCCATCCCTGGCAGTGTTCAAGGCCAGGTTGGACACAGGGGCTTGGAGCAAGCTGCTCTAGTGGAAGGTGTCCCTGCCTGTGGCAGGGGTTGGAACTGGATGAGCTTTAAGGTCTCTTCCAGCCCAAACCATTCCATGGTTCTGTGATTCCATGGAGAGAACACAGCACTTGCAGAGCTGGACAGATCTGCAGAGACTCTATAGAGTGTGAAATGAAACTAAACCCCTTCCAAATGGATCCTGACAGTTTGGGTATGATCAGAACAGGTCAGACTGAGTTCTTACGTTGTGGATGTGAGAGGAGACATCCTCGTTCCTGATGACCACAAGCAGCCGATCAGTGTCCGGACACTTTGCTTGGCAGAAGCTCAGGGGTTCGGTCTCCACGTGTCCCAGCTTCCTCAGCAAGGTCTGAAACAGGAACCACATGAGCTTTGTGTGGAGAACTCCACAACAGCACTGCTGCGCTCCCAGCACACACGGGCCTGGGGACATGATGAGGGGAGCAGCACAGGGACCCCAAGCAGGCACCCTGCAGCGTCCGTCGGTCACAGGCACCATGTGCTCCAGGCCAGGGCTCCAGCCAGAGGTGGAGGAAGCAGACATTGACCTTTGTCAGCAAAAACCTGCTAAAGGAACACCTCGAGCATCATCAGGCCTCTGTGCTGCGGCAGAGCAGCAAATCCCCCCATGCAATCACCATCGCCAACCCTTTAATGGGAGCTGGAGCAAAAGCCACGTTGCAAGGTTTGAATTTGGCCTGTTCCTGCATGAACTCAGCTCTGATTTGGCCCGGGGGATGTTCAAGGGATGGGACAAGAGGAAATGGCCTCAAGCTGCACCAGGGCAGGTTTAGATGGAGCTGAGGAACAATTCCTTCCCCAGAGGGTGCTCAGGCATTGGAACAGGCTGCCCAGGGCAGGGCTGCAGTCACCGTCCCTGCAGGTGTTCACACAGCGTGGAGACGAGGCCTCAGTGCCATGGGTTAGTGGTGGCCTTGGCAGTGCTGGGTAATGGTTGGACTGGATGAGCTTAAAGGGCTTTTCCAACCTAAATAAATCAACCTTCCAACACCTAAGGGGGCTCCAGGAAACCTGGAGAGGGGCTTTGGACAAGGGCCTGTAGGGCCAGGCCAAGGGGAATGGCTTTAACCTGCCAGAGGGGAGACTGAGATGAGCTCTTAGGCAGAAGCTCTTCCCTGTGAGGGTGCTGAGGCGCTGGCACAGGGTGCCCAGAGAAGCTGTGGCTGCCCCATCCCTGGCAGTGTTCAAGGCCAGGTTGGACACAGGGGCTTGGAGCAAGCTGCTCTAGTGGAAGGTGTCCCTGCCCGTGGCAGGGGGTGGAGCTGGAGGAGCTTTAAGGTCCCTTCAACCCAAACCAGGCTGGGATTCTATGATTCCAATTCCTGTCATTAGGAGCCAAGATGAAATGGCAGAGGTGGAACCAAACCCCATCCCTGTTGGGTTGAACACGCTCCTGCTGCCTCAGCTCCCACCCCAGAGCCACCCATCCCCGTGCAACCCCGTTGTTACCTTCAACCTTGCAAAGAACGGCTCCTCGCCCGTCTCCACCACGTAGAACGATCCATTGTGGCCACAGGCCTCCTTGGCCACGCTGCAGAGGTGGGACCGCAGCGAGCTGCACAGGTCAGTGATCATCTCCTCGAAGGTCTCCATCCTCCCGGCGAGGGATGCACAAGCCCATTCACTTGTGTCCCCCATACCCACTGGGACATCCTCTTGGCCCTGTGTCCCTGCCCCAGCCGTCCTCAGCATCACCCTCCTGAACTCATCAAAGATGATGGCAACCTCCCCCTCTGTGTCCTGGAGCTTGTGGTCGTACTTGAGCTTGCTGAGGTGGAAGCCCTGGCTCGTGTTTTGGGCTCTGCTCCTCTTGTCACAGAGGGTGTCCTGCCACGGGGTGCACTGGTCCCCATGCTGGGGACCCCCATGCCAGTCAAGCCCACTCGGCCATGTGTCCCAGGGCAGGATTGTCACCTGCAAAGGGCTCCTGCTCCGTGGGATGGGAGCTTCTGGTGCAGGAGATGTCTCAGACATCACCTGGGGACAAAAGTCTTTTGGGAAGATGCTTTTGGAGGTAGAAAAAGGTGGTTTCCCACTCCTCAGGATGTGTTTTAGCTTATCATAGAAACGGAGACACTCCATGTCCAAAGTGTCCTGTGTGATTCCCTCAAACCCCCTCCAAGTCCCCCATAGTGACCGTAACAAATGGGACTGCCCCATACAGTGTCTATGCCTCTTCTGAGGCTCCTGGCACTTCTTGGTGACCACCAAGTTCCTGCACTGCTTGGCAATCCCCTGCTTGTCCCTAATAGTGACATGTGGAGGGATGAGCTCGTTGCTGGTGTCCCCTGGGCTGATGGTCCAGCCATGCTCAGCCCATGAGCATGGGCTCCCCTCCACGTCCAGTGAGCCCCAGTCCTCACTGCCCCCCTCTGAGCACACTGGGCTCCCAGGGGACGAGCCACAGTTAGTCCTTGTGCCTGCAGCATCCATGGATCTGCTGTAGGAAGCTCTGGCTGTGAGCAGGGACCATGAAGTCTCCTCCTGGCTGGAGTCGCTGGAGGAAGCCTCAAAGGTTGAATCCATGTGTGTGTCTTTGCTGGGGAGCTCCTTGGACCCCAGGAGCCCATCTGAGACACCATCAGCATCAGCCAGCTCCAGCCTTCCTGCAGAGAGCACCCTTTGTGCATGCAATGACAACACTGGGAAGGGGGGAGTGTGGATTTCTGTGTCTTCCACCTCTGTGCTGGCCTGGTGCAGCTCAGGAAGCCCGTCAGCTCCCTGAGCCTCCTGCTCCCCTTGCTTACACACAGACTGGAGCTCAGACAGAGGCATCAGCAACTCCCCTGATGAAGATGATGCAGACCCAGCAAGAGGGAAGCTGCTTCCTCCTTCCAAGCCCTCAGGCAGGATGGGTTCCGCCTTGTGGCTGCTTGCTGCATCTGCTGCTTGGGCCCCAGGGCTGGTATCCATGCAGCAGGACCATGGGGCAGCATCTGAAGCTGGAGACAGCACCCTGGGGTGCTCTCTGAGCACCGAGTGTGGCTCAGTGCTGTGCAGACCTGCTTTGTGTCCATGTGGAGGAGCAGGAGGCATCAATCCCAGGTCACCAGGCACATCCATGGGGGAGCTCTCTGCTGGCTCTGCATGGCAGGTGCCTGTGCCTTTTCCCACCTCTTCCACACATCTGGGTTCTAAGTAGCCATTTAAGCTCCCAGCAGCCACACTCACCTCTGCAGCATGTACTTGCCCACAGGACCCCTTTTGCTGGCACGGGACTGGCCACCACTCCCTTTGCTCTAACAGGCAGTGGTGGGGATCTGTGTGTTCACCATGGGATGGAGAAGCAGGAGGGGAATCATGGGCAGGTGAGGACAGCCCATTTGGGTTTCTCTGCTGCTGCTTGGGGTGCTTCTCCATGGCTGACATCCCTTCCTGCATTGAGAAGGAAGGTTCTGGTTCCAGGAGGGGATGAAGAGAGGGCTCTGGCTCCTGTAGTTTGTGAGCCACCATCACTGTGCTGCTTTTGTTGCTCCTGGAGTACTCCTTTGCCCCGAGGCACACATCATCACTGTCCCCAGCTTCAGAGCCATCTGCAAAGGCTGTGTAAGCAAAGTCCTGGCCATCACTTGCTCCTGAGGACTCCAGCACATCCGTGCCGTTGGCAGAAGGGATGTTCCTCTCTTCTTCCACCAAATCCTTGTTCCCTTCTTGCTTTGTTTCACCAGTGCTCAGCAAAGGGAGCTCAGCATCAGCATCACCTCCAAACCCTTGGGAAAGGCCGCTGCCCCCTCCCACACTGCTCTGTGATGGGGACCGGATGTTCCCCAAGGTGTCCTGCTCCTCTGGAGCAGCCCCAGGACCTGCTGCTCTGTCAGGAGGTATCAGGCAGACAGAGCTGGAGTCAGGGGACAAGGCCATTGACAGGTCCTGGCTGCTCGGTGACCCAGCCCTGCTCCCAGCAGATTCCCACCCTGCTGCACAGGGTGCACAGTTCTTGTCTGGCTGTGTCTCACCAACCAAGCTTGGGTCAGATGGTGATGGAGGCAACAACCTGCTGTCACAGGGTGACCCCCCATCAGCTGCACTGCCTGTGTGTGCCAGGCCAACACCCTTCACCTCTGCATCTGGGGTGGCCAAAGCCTCTTCCAGCATGTTCAGGCTTGGTGCCACCCCACCAGGAAGCCTTTGAGGGCCAGTCCCAGTCCCATCTGACAGCTCTGGCATTAATCTGCCTGGGCAAGGGGATGCTAAGGCAGGAGGGCTGGGCACAGGGACACCAGAGCCCTGTGGCCATGCTGGATGCACTGGGTTCTGCTTGTTGTGGTCATAGTCCATGCTGTCATCACTGCTTGCAGAGAATGCCAAAAAGCCAGGCTCCAGGGCTGTGCTCTCATATTCACAGTCCTCCTTCTCGTCTTCTACCTCTTCCACCTCTTCCTCTGAACATCCAAAGAGGTTCTGTGATTCCCTCCCTTCCCTCCTGGCTTCACCAGGCTTTGCAGTTGTAGGACTTGCTTCTAAGAAGAGCCAACCAGAGGCCTGTTGTGGCCCATCACTGGTGGCCCAGCCACTGTCCTCAATCTCCATACAGTGCTCAGTGTCTGCAATGCTCTCTGTGTTCTCGGGAGGGCCGGGGCCATTCCCTGACCCTGCTGTCCATCCACTCTCCTGCTGCTCTCCTTGTCCATGCAGTGTGCATGGGGCATCTCTCCAAGGAGCTGAACTGGGATCTGGGGCTTGGCTGAAGGGGTTTTCCTTGCCCAGCACAGCTGGGGGCTTGCTAGTATCACTGAGCTCATAAGCAGGGCTGGGGGTGGTTGTAACATCCTTCATCCTTCCCTCCTTGGGTGGCTTCTCCTGAAACAACACAAATTGGAGGTTAAGAAAGAAGAGGAGGTTATCAAAAGGAGTGTGAGCAGCAGATCATGGAGGTGCTCCTGCCCCTCTACTCTGCTCTCGTGAGACCCCACTTGCTGCACTGTGTGCAGTTCTGGTGTCCTCAACATAAGAAGGACACGGAGGTGTTGGAGCAAGTCCAGAGGAGGCCACGAGGATGCTCAGGGGCTGGAGCACCTCCTGTATGGAGACAGGCTGAGAAAGTTGGGGCTGTTGAGCCCGGGGAAGATAAGTTGCATGGAGACCTCTTAGCAGCTTCCAATGTCTGAAGGGAGCTACAAGGATGCTGGAGAGGAGCTCTTCAATCAGGGACTGTAGTGATAGGACAAGGGGTGATGGGTTCAAACTGAAACAGAGGAAGTTCAGGTTAGATCTAAGGCAGTTCTTCCCTGTGAGATTGGTGATTCCCCAGCACCGGTCACTGTTAAGACTGGGCTGCACAGGGTGCTGGGACATCCAGTCTAAGTCATGCTTTGCCAAAAAAGGCTGGACCAGACGGCCCTTGAGGTCCCTTCCAACCTGGTATTCCATGAGTTTATGGTCCTATGCCTGTGGCAGTCATCTGGGGCAGATAAATGCCGGTGAATGCTCCTCACTCCTGCTTTGTGGACCTCCAGTACCTGGCTCTGAGAGAGCCCACACGCATCTCTGCTCCCCTCCTTTCAGAAGATCCTATTCCTGTAAGCATAAAATGCATTCTGTGTCCTACAGACTTGTATCACTCACACCCCAAGCTCTTACCTTAGTGATGGTTGGGATGTCATGCCCATGCTCCTCAGCAATGGCTGCAGGCTCTTTGTCTTTCTCATCAGCACGTTCAGGACAGCTTGTGGAGGAAGGCTCCTCCTCCCCACAGGGCACCTCTCCTGAAGATGACACTGTGTTATCAACAACAGCAGGAGTCCCACCAGCATCAGTCTGAGAGTCTGCAGAGTGGAAGTGACCCTGGTTACGTGTGGTGTGATCCACAGAGCTGCTGGGAGTCTGGACAGGGTCCGAGCGACTGTCTGCAGGGCACTTCTCCAACCCAAAATAGTCCTCACCATCATCACTGAAGTCAAGGAAGTCCCAAGTGGTCTTTATTGAGACATACTTCTTGGGGTCGCTGTGCTCCACCACCACCCTCGTGCTGCTCAGCAGGCTGGGCTTGCTATAGAAGAGAGCCACCCACATGTGGAGTATCAGCTTCAGCTCCTGCACATCATCAGGCTGACGAGAGTTCCAGGGCCTGCAAAGAAAGCAAACACAGACTGGAACACCTTCATCCTCCCTCCAGGTGACTGGCACAAGGCATCTCCTGGTTCCCCACAGTGCTAAGCCCCAGAGATGCCTATTTGCAGTCATGGATCACTCAATGCAGTTATTCCAGCATATTGGAATAAAGAGAAACTCACAGCTGCAAAATAGGACTTGGGCTCATGGCATTAGATATCAATTCTAGCTGCAGAGCCATGGGAATCATAGACTGGCTTGTGTTGGAAGGGACCTTAAAGCTCATCCAGGTCCAACCCCTGCCACGAGCAGGACACCTTCCACTAGAGCAGCTTGCTCCAAGCCCCTGTGTCCAACCTGGCCTTGAGCACTGCCAGGGATGGGGCAGCCACAGCTTCTCTGGGCACCCTGTGCCAGCGCCTCAGCACCCTCACAGGGAAGAGCTTCTGCCTAAGAGCTCATCTCAGTCTCCCCTCTGGCAGGTTAAAGCCATTCCCCTTGGCCTGGCCCTACAGGCCCTTGTCCCAAGCCCCTCTCCAGCTTTCCTGCAGCCCCTTCAGGCACTGGAGCTGCTCTAAGGTCTCCCCTTCAGGAGCCTTCTCTTCTCCAGGCTGACCCAGCCCAGCTCTCTCAGCCTGGCTCCAGAGCAGAGCTGCTCCAGCCCTCGCAGCATCTCCATGGCCTCCCCTGCACTCGCTCCAACAGCTCCACGTCCCTCTTGTGCTGCTGCCCCAGAGCTGGATCAGGACTGCAGGGGGGGTCCCCCCAAAGTGCAGCAGAGGGGCAGGATCCCCTCCCTGAGCTGCTGCTCACGCTCTGGGGGTGCAGCCCAGCACATGGTGGGGTTCTGGGCTCAAGCGCACACTGAAGCCGGGTCATGGGGAGCTTCTCATCGATCAGCACCCCCAAGTCCTTCCCCTCAGGGAAGACACCAGCTTTAACACAGTAAAACTGGGCTTTTTAGCATGGGAAAGAAGGCAATGATAGTGCTGAGCAAACAGAAAGCAAAGAAAGCCCCTTCCAAAAGCACTCCAGCAGGAGCCAACCCCTCCAGATAGCCTTCCAGAGCAACTTACCCATGCAGGCCACGAACAACTGTCTTCTCCAGGGCATCATTGGTGTATCTGCTGTCCAAGTGGAAAAGATACGGTGCATTCCAGTGGCACGTCACCATTATGGACTCATCACAGATCTTCACTTTGTGTCTCTTGGCAAAGTCTTCCTTCACCCTGTTCCTGTGCCTCATGGCTATGGCCTGTGGGTGGCTGCTGCTCTGCTGGTGCCTGAAGGGCAGCACCTTCCCAACCAGGGGCCTTGCTCGGTTGCTCCTGGCGGATGCTGGTGCAGGGTTGGATGTACCTTTGGGATTCACGGGTTTCTTTGAGTTCTCAGGCATCTGTGAGGCGTATGAGTGCTCAGCAGAGATTAAGGTGTTATTGTTCACCTTGTTCACCTTGGGAGCCTTTGGAGTCTTTTTTGGAGGCAACACATGGGGTTTTGGTGGCCTGGGCCTCAATCTGTTACTCATACAGGAAACCGTAGAGTTTTTCTCCCTGGGACTAGAGGCCAAGTCATTTAAGACTTTGTTTTCCGCAGGATGCTGCTTCTGGTTTGGCACGACCTTGCTAGGAGAGGTGTCTCCCTCTGCGAGCCTTGTCACCCTGTGGTATTCATGATCAGAAGCAACACATGAGGATTTGTGCTTGTGGTGGCTTTGCTGCTCCTCTGGAGAGTCACTGGAGTGGCTGCAGGACTCAGCTGCCACCTCATTGTCTGCTGGGATAACCAAAGGACTACAGGAACCCAGAGCCAGGTCAGCCAGCAAGTTCAAGGCATGGGGCTCGTACCTGTTCCTCTTCAGGTTGAGACCAGGATCACCAAGTCCATCTGGGCAAACCTCACCCATTTTGCTGTCATCTCCATGACACTGGGAAGAAGCTTCTCCTGGGAGGACAGAGGGCAGCTCCTGGTGCTCTGAGTAAGGAAAACAGAGATTAAACAAAGGCCACATAGGTGTTCAAATAGCTTTCGGTTTGACAGGAAAAGTATGTCTCCAACGTGGAATTTACACACTTAAACCAAACCCCATCTCCATGGACATGGCTACTACAGAATGATCCAGAGCTGGGAATCTAAGTGATTTCAGGAAGCGGGTTTATTCTCAGAACTAACAGGCATGGGATCCAAAGGGAACAAAACATCCCTTGGCCTCTGTGCACAGGGTTGTTTGGCCACTTAAATACAACCCGAGCTATTTCAGGTGTTTCCTTCACCCTTTTTATTTTGCTTTACATTTTGACCTAGCTTGAGTATTTGGGAGTCTTCCCTCCTGACCCTTGGGCTGTGCTTTCAACAGTCCATTACAAAACCCACCCCAAACCACTGAACCACAGAGAAAACCCCTGTGCCCTCATGCTTCCCACTGCACACCCTACCTAGAGCATAACCTGCTCTTGCGCTGAACCTCAGAGCACACACACTGAAACTCTTCTTAACAAGTCCAGCTTTATTAACTGCAACCAAGCAGCCTGGTGCTGGCTGGCACTTTGCACCCACAGCCTTGGCCTCCCTGTGTGTTATGATCCAAAGGCAGCCACAGCACAGCACGTAAGTGTTCATGTAGTTTTCACCATGGCTCTAGGCCCATGTTCATAAAACCAGTATGAAGACATCAAATAAAATTAATGTCTTCTACTAAAAAACACCTCAGAAACATCTCCCTTCAAGTAAAACCTTATTGAATCACATCTGTGTTAAAGTCCAATGTGTTACAATGCATTTCCTTGAGAACTGCATATCCGTATCTGCGTATTCAATATCTGAAGGGGGCTACAAGGATGCTGGAGAGGGACTCTTCATCGGGGACTGTAGCAATAGGACAAGGGGTGATGGGTTCAAACTGAAACAGGGGAAGTTCAGGTTGGAGATAAGGCAGAAGCTCTTCCCTGTGAGGGTGCTGAGGTGCTGGCACAGGGTGCCCAGAGAAGCTGTGGCTGCCCCATCCCTGGCAGTGTTCAAGGCCAGGCTGGACACAGGGGCTTGGAGCAACCTGCTCTAGTGGAAGGTGTCCCTGCCTGTGGCAGGAGTTGAAACTGGGTGAGCTTTAAGGTCCCTTCCAACCCAAACCTGTGATTCTGTGAGGGACAGTGTTTGATACACACACACTGATGAAAAATGCCACATTTCAGAAATACATGGCAATAAAAGACCAAGAAGGCAGGATAAACTGAGCTGAGGTGCCTGAACCTGTCTTCAAAGTCTCCAGGAAGAGGAAAAAGGCCAGAAACAGCTGAAAAAAAAGACATCAATGTGTGAGAAAACACAACAAACTAAGAAAATGACTCTTCTGATCCATCACTTGTCTTGGCAACATAATACTGGTTCCCAGTTTCACTTGCAGGCTCCCAGCCAGCACCTGCAGATACCACAGTCAGGTGTTGTCCACTCAGGGCTGCCTCTTAAATATGCTGCAGGCTGCAAAGGCTGTGACAATTCCACTCCTTATCCCAGCAGTTTGCCAGGGATGCAAACTGAAGGAATAGGAAAGGACTCACAAGAGCCCCTGTCTGGTTTGTCCATCCCGGAACAAGGATTTTCACCATCACCTTTGTGTTTTATACTAGGCAGTTGCTTTATCCACTCAGTTTATACAACTGCAGGCTGGGGGGCAGCAGCACTCAGACCCAATCCAGACCTCTAAAGCCCTGTGGCTACTGCCAATGTGCTATTATGATCATCTGGTTGTGACCTGCCTGTGATGTTTGATGGCTCAGCTTTTAAAGGCAAGATTTCCATAGGGAACAGCACTCTTACCACTTTCTGCTTGCTTGTTGGCTTTGGGTTTCGAGGAGCTTTTAGCCACAGGTTTTAATATCTGCCTCTTCACTGGCTTTCTGGTGCTCTCAGCAACAGGAACCTTCTTCTCCTCTGGCTTCCTCAGTAGCCTTGGTCTCTTGGTTTCCAAGGCAGAAGCATCAGGAGCTGGGGTTTCCTTCTGAACAGCTCCAGACTGTGTTTGCTGCATGAATTCTGCAGACAGGACCTCTGCACCTGGAAAAGAGAGAGCATCACCTTTGGTTTGAGACATATCGGACTAAAAAGGAGTCATTGCAAAATACCAAGTTAAGGAATATGAGTAAAGTATAAGGAATCACAAGGAAAAGCTGAGGGGTGACAGGCACAAGTTAATCCTGGAAGATTCCAGCTGGACACAAGAGGGGAATGTTTCACCATGAGAACAATCAGCCATTGGAATCATCTCCAGATGATCATCTCCAATCCCAGAGAATTGGATTCCCCAGTGTTGGACACATAAGATTTAGGTGGACAGGGTGCTGGGGCATCTCGTCTAGATAATACTTTGCCTAGAAAGGTTGGACCAGGTGATCCCTGAGGTCCTTGCCCACCTGGCATTCCATGGTTCTGTGAATGTGGAGTGCTTTAGAAGGGATTGGCAGCAGCAGAGTAGTGTTCCACAACTTGCTTTATGCATCTGAGCTGAGTAACAAATGGGTTTGTTACTGATGGGAGTGATCAGTGAGCAGTTATTAAAAGTTAAGCATCACTTCTTAAGCTCATTAAAAACTTGTTTTCCTGACCTGGAATAGGTGTTCTCCAGGGATAAAATCACCCTAATTCCTGGCTGGCACAGGAAGCAGCCTGAGGGCACTTATTTACCTCTCCAAGAAGCACAGGTACCTCAGCAATCCACCCTTGAGATCCACCAACAGATGGATCTCATCAGCAATGCCACCACTTGAGGCAAAGGTGCCCCAGGACTGAGACTCAGAGGTAACTTCATCCCACAGTGCCACCCCTGTGCTGCACAAGAGCCCATTCCCACAGTCACTGCCCTACCTGTGGTGTGTGTAAATGGGAGGGGAGGTCACAGAGGATGGCACTAACTCTGCAGTAGTCCTTTGAATGGTTCTGGCCATGTTTCATCACCAAGACTGAGATTCATCTCAACCCACTTTCAGACTCTGTACATGAGGCAGAGGCTGACTAGAGAGCCCAGGTTTAACCAGCCTCAGTGATGAGACAGGAGCCTTCAGAGAACAATTCATGCATTGAGACAGCTCACATGAGCAGCTCAGGCCTGATACCAGCTTTCAGCTGTAGCTGGGTGGGATCAATCTCACACTTTAAGAATGCCATGCTAAATCATGGTCGAGATGGTTTTGTTCAGGGTGAAACTGGCCCAAATGCAGTTTAGTTCTGTTGAATTCAGATTGAGCTACAGCAAAACGAACCACTTTGAGTCTCAGTTTGGGTGTGGAAATTGCACTGCTTAATTTTCATAGAATTCCAGACTGGTTTAGGTTGGCAGGGACCTTAAAGCTCATCCAGTTCCAACCCCTGCCATGAGCAGGGACCCCTTCCATTACAGCAGCTTGCTCCAAGCTCCTGTGTCCAGCCTGGCCTTGAACACTGCCAGGGATGGGGCAGCCACAGCTTCTCTGGGCACCCTGTGCCAGCGCCTCAGCACCCTCACAGGGAAGAGCTTCTGCCTAAGAGCTCATCTCAGTCTCCCCTCTGGCAGGTTAAAGCCATTCCCCTTGGCCTGTCCCTACAGGCCCTTGTCCAAAGCCTCTCTCCAGGTTTCCTGCAGCCCCTTTAGGCACTGGAGCTGCTCTAAGGTCTCCCCTTAAGGAGTCTTCTCCAGGCTGAACCAGCCCAGCTCTCTCAGCCTCTGTTCATAGCAGAGGTGGGCTCAGGAGGCATCTGCTTGCTATGGGCACCTGAGGGGGCTGGGAAGGGGCCATGGCTCCTAGTGAACCCTGAGCATCCCAGCTTCTGGAAAAGCAGGAGGAAGTTAGTCCCCTTTATACAGCACTTACCTCTTTTCCTTCTCTGTGGCAACTGCAAGTTGGCTAATTCAAGTGTGGGCTCATCGGACTTGTCTGCAGATCCTGGCTTCTCAGAAGATAAAGCAAGGTTGATCTTATTGGCTGCTTTCCTGTTGCTGCTGCTATGCCCCATTTGCTTCTCTGGTGGTGGCAATTCATCCCTGGTGCTGTTTGCAATCTCTCTCTTGGGTTTCTTCCTGCTACTCTGCACCGAGAGCTTGCTGGTTAAGTCAACACCTTCTGCAGGCTCTTCACCAACCTGGTCCAGCCCCAGGGTGGGATGTGGGTCTTCACTTCTGACTTCTTTTTCTCCTGTTGTGTTGAAGAGAATCAGGTCTGGTGGCAGAGCTGAAGATAAGTCTGGTTCATCAGCAGCCTCTGAATCACAGCAAAGAGACTGAGCAGCACCAGGCAAACATCCTAAAGCTGTTGCCAATGGCAGAGTGTAGCTGCTGGAATCAGAGAGGTAACTCTGCAGCTGGGAGAAGGACTCCTCTGAGCACTTCTTGAGGGGATTTGTACATTCATCCTCAGTTAGGGAGAGGGCAGAAGAAAAGGGAACTTCACTGCTTTGGCCAGAGGAGGACCCTGTGTTTTGGTCAAGCTTTGCATACTCCTGGAAGTGGTGTTTGATCCATGTGCTGGGACTGACTGTGTCCTGCCCTGAAGAACTGGTGGCTTTCTGTAAGGCATAGTGGAGGCCAGGCAAAACGGAGGCTACTCTCAGTGAGATGTCACTCTGCTCCCTTTCACCTCTTGGCTGGTGCTTTGCAGCTATGGAAGGAAAAGAAAAGCATTTTATTCATTTTAAAAACAAGATTCAATTCCCCAAATCACTTCCCTGTTACATGCAAAGAGAACATGAAAGATTCTATGATTCTATGAACAAGCCCCAGGAGCCAACCTACAGAAAACTAACCCAAGGATGATGGCCTGGTTTGAGGCATGCTTGTAACTGGTAGAAAGGTAGAAGGTAGAAAGGAATTTCAGATGGAATTCCAAAGTGGATTAAACTAAGATTAAAGGCTGCTGTTGTATCGGTTAGCTTCATTCTGCAGGGAGATCACACACATAGTGGTCTAATTCCCTTCATTCCAGCAATTCTCACTGAATCCAACATTTAAGGCACTCAGAGCTCTCAAAACACAGGGGTCTTTTGGGGTTTTAAACTTGTTTCAGCTGAGGGCTGCCCATCGAGGGTGTTTAGGCCAGCACTGCCTTCAGATCACTTGTGTTGTTTATGTCCCTGTCCAGATGCTGCTTCCAGCAGCTCCATCTCTACCTGCTGTCAGCATGGGATAACCCACTTCACATGAAGACACCACATTAGCGCTGTGGAGCGGGATGTGGAATATGGAATTCCCATCAGACCCAGAAACTGGATAAATAAAGAACATGAACCCCTGGGTGATCTTCTAAAACTGGAGGACTGATTCTACTGAAAGCCATTGGTGTTTCTCACTTCAGGAGGACTAAAGCCTATCATTAAAGTGTAGCTCCCAAGAGGGATGAACAAGAAGTCCCAAGGCTCTAGGGTGTCCCCCCTCTCAGATGTCACCATGAAGTAGGCTCTGCTTGCCACAGCAGGGTCCCCTTGGTGTCCAGAAGTGCCTGTGATGTGCAGAGCTTCAGTGGCATTCTTCTCTGCACAAGCCAGATTTATCCAGCTTCATCCACTGCAACCCAGCAACCTGATGCTGATGCTTTGCATCCACATCCTTGGCCTGTGTGTTATGATCCCCCTCTGAGGTTTCTTTTGGCTGCAGGAGCAGGCTGACAGCCCCAGTTCCTTTCCCTATCCCATTTCTTCCCAGTGGGTGTTTCCCTCCCAGATGTGTGATTTTCTTTGCCTATTGGTCCTTGTAACTAGCAAGCCCAGGCAGAGCTGTGAGCCTACTCCCAGCTTCCTGCCTCTGCTGCTGGCTCTGGAATGCTGCGGGTGCTCTGTATAGCAGGCTTGTTCTGCCCTACATACCTCCTGAGGCCGTCTGCACAGGAAGGGAACAGATTCAGAGGCTGCTCATTTTGAAACAGGAAACATTATTCATGCTCTGAGTCTGAACTGAGTGAGTTGGGGCTGTTCAGCTGGAGAAGAGAAGCTGCGTGGAGGCCTCAGAGCAGCTTCTGGTGTCTGAAGGGAGCTACAAGGATGATGGAGAGGAGCTCTTCATCAGGGATTGTAGTGATAGGACAAGGGGTGATGGGTTCAAACTGAAACAGGGGAAGTTCAGGTTAGATCTTAGGCAGAAGCTCTTCCCTGTGAGGGTGCTGAGGCGCTGGCACAGGGTGCCCAGAGAAGCTGTGGCTGCCCCATCCCTGGCAGTGTTCAAGGCCAGGTTGGACACAGGGGCTTGGAGCAAGCTTCTCTAGTGGAAGATGGTGAGGATCTCACACCCAAAACCCAGTGTCTGAAGCCACCAAAGGGAACCCCCTACCGTTCAGTCCCATTGACTGGGAGGAGGTGAACAGGAACAGGGCCAGGAGGCTGCCAGGCTCCTTGGGGTCAAATCCTACGGCAGAAAGCAAGAGGTTTTGTTTAGACTGAGTGTACCCACCCTCTGTCCCTAAACCAGAGCAGGATGTTTAAGCACAGCTATTGGCTTCTACATTGGTCTTACCATCATCTCGTGCCAAGGCAGAGGGCGTGAGGAGGATAAGGAATCCTTGATCTTGTAAATATTTGATGATTGCCTACAATAAACACAAAGTTAAAGCAACCACTCCTTTCCTTCTTAGTACACTTTCTATCACTCAACAGGACTCTCAACAAGCCTGGCTTTCTGCTGAACATGTGCCAACACCGCCAGCTCCTTCCCTGTTAAGGAGGACACTGCTTGTTTCATGCCACTTGGATCAATTTGGATCTGTAACCAAAAGTGTTCCTTTTATGTTGCTATTGAGCTATCAAATCCCTCACATCTGTTCCTTAATAAATAGCTATGCTCAGCCAAACCAGCTGCAATTAATGGATAAGGTTAATAACTGTGGCCCCTTCAGTTCAAAAGCTCCTGGGCCTCTCAGTCAGGAACTGCTTTTCACAGCCCAAGGAGAAGGTTTTCCCAGCAGGAAAAGCAAAGCTGGACAACAACATCTGACAAAACACAACCAAACTGTTCCAGACACGAGGCTGAGTGAAGTTCAGGCCATGCAGCTTCTTTATCATCAGTGTTCAGTTCTTGGCCCCTCACTATAAGAGAGACATTGAGGTGCTGGAGCGGGGCCAGAGAAGGGCAAAGGAGCTGGTGCAGGGCCTGGAGCACAAGTGTGATGGGGAAGGGCTGAGGGACCTGGGGGGTTCAGTCTGGAGAAGAGAAGGCTCAAGGGGGACCTGATGGCTCCCTACAACTGCCTGACAGGAGGATGGAGCCAGGAGGGGCTGGGCTCTGCTCCCAAGGAACAAGGGATGGGACAAGAGGAAACGGCCTCAAGCTGCACCAGGGCAGGTTTAGATGGAGCTGAGGAACAATTCCTTCCCCAGAGGCTGCTCAGGCATTGGAACAGGCTGACCAGGGCAGGGCTGCAGTCACCGTCCCTGCAAGTGTTCACACAGCGTGGAGACGAGGCCTCAGTGCCATGGGTTAGTGGTGGCCTTGGCAGGGCTGGGGAACGGTTGGACTGGATGAGCTTAAAGGGCTTTTCCAACCCGGGTGATTCTGTGATTCTATGATAGACTCTGCTGAGTCTCAGAGCTGCCTGACTGCATGTCTAAAACAATACATACTGAGGCTTCTCTTGTGTTTGGGTGTTACTTGATGCCTCACTACAGAGCTTGGCTTGGAATGCCTTCCCCTCCATGGGGACATCCATTTGGATCTCTTTCCTCCATGCAGACACATCTTTGCAGGACACTTACAGGAACTGAACAGCCCAATGGCTTCTAATGCTCTGTGAATTGCCACTGATCCCAGTCAATACATTCAGACATAACAGAGGGTTGGACTACTGCCCATTTCAGCCTCATTTCTCCAGGACAAAGAAACAGCTTTGAAAGCACTGAACAACTTCAGGGTAATATTCCCTACTCAGAACAGTAGCTCCTTGCTTTGGATGCCTCAAGCCAGCAGTGCAGAGATGTAAGAGCCAGTACCATTCCAGCTCAATGAAATAGCTGTTTCCCACTGCCAGAATGAGCTTTCAGGCAGGTAAGGAGGAAAGTCAAGTCATAAAGCAGCAGCCACCTAACACAGAGCTGACAGACATCAGTCAGAGCCCAGAGCAGTACAGCTGGCCTCAGGCAACCCCACCTAGCCCCAGCACCCTTTCCCTTCCACTTGGGCACTGCACAAGACAGGGTGCCTGGCACATGCACAGGGAAAAGAGATGGAGAACACTTTTGGGAGGGGAAGAAGCAAACCCAAAAGGGGCTGTGACTGTTTCCCTGCTGAAGTAAGGGAGATGAATTCATCCAGTTTGACAGATATATGAGGGTGGCGAAGCTCCAGGGAAATAACATTCCTAATGGCTTTCAAACCTAAACTGCTCACAGCCACAATGCAACCATCTTATTGGCCCTGAGGAGAAGGACTTGGGGGTGTTGGTTGATGAGAAGCTCCCCATGACCCGGCTTCAGTGCAGGCTTGAGACCAGAACCCTCCCGTGTGCTGGGCTGCACCCCCAGAGCATGAGCAGCAGCTCAGGAAGGGGATCCTGCCCCTCTGCTGTGCTCTGGGGAGACCCCCCCTGCAGTCCTGATCCAGCTCTGGGGCAGCAGCACAAGAGGGACGTGGAGCTGTTGGAGCGAGTGCAGAGGAGGCCACGGAGATGCTGCGAGGGCTGGAGCAGCTCTGCTCTGGAGCCAGGCTGAGAGAGCTGGGCTGGGTCAGCCTGGAGAAGAGAAGGCTCCTGAAGGGGAGACCTTAGAGCAGCTCCAGTGCCTAAAGGGGCTGCAGGAAAGCTGGAGAGGGGCTTTGGACAAGGGCCTGTAGGGACAGGCCAAGGGGAATGGCTTTAACCTGCCAGAGGGGAGACTGAGATGAGCTCTTAGGCAGAAGCTCTTCCCTGTGAGGGTGCTGAGGCGCTGGCACAGGGTGCCCAGAGAAGCTGTGGCTGCCCCATCCCTGGCAGTGTTCAAGGCCAGGTTGGACACAGGGGCTTGGAGCAAGCTGCTCTAGTGGGAGGTGTCCCTGCCCGTGGCAGGGGGTGGAGCTGGAGGAGCTTTAAGCTCCCTTCCAACACAAACCAGTCTGGGATTCTTTGCCAACCCCTCTAGTGCTTGGCAGGGTGCATGTTATAACCTTCAGTAGCTGCAAACATGGAGTAATGCACCAGAGCATATGGTTGGCACAGATCCCTGTAAGAAAGGCACTTGGACTGTGTACTGATTAAAGTGTTTTTTATTGGCGAGCACAGATGAAAAAAGGGATAGCATAGATAAGCTCATGCCCCTTCAGATGCTGGGAACCTCAAGATGAGCTATGGCATTGACCTGTGCCCCAACCGGACGTCCAACTGATGCTGCACAGTTCAGTGTTACCTGCACATGAAGGGACATTAAGATTGTCTTTGCCATCTTCTGTTTTCCTTCCCATGTTGTTACCAATAAAAGGCTTTAATTAATACTTTAGGGAGCGAGAGTGCTTTTCTTACAGGGTTGCACAACCATCACTTGCTCTGGTATGTTACGTGAGTGGAGCTCCACATCAGTGGGCAGCTCTTCAGCAGTGCAGCACAGCAACAGCTCTTCCAGGCAGTTGATGGGCTGCTGCCAGCTTGCAGTGAGGGGAGGATGTGGCCAGCAGCCAGGATTTACAACTCCGAATCTACAGGAAGCCATCAGATGAGAGAGAGAGCAACCAACAGCAGCAAAGCCAAACCCAACCCAACCCCAACTCCCAGCAGAGATGCAGGTGTTGTGCTCCACAGGGGTGAGGTTTATTCCTTGGATTCATCAGGAGAAGTGACAATCACACTGGGAACGTGCTTGAAAAAAAGCATTATCATATCACACATCACAAGGGAAATTCCCCATTAAAAATGGATAACTCTAACATCTTCAGAGATCCTGGAAGCCCCCAGGGATTCAGCAGCGTAACTGTGGGCATTAAGCTGAGGGCAAGCAGCTCAGCTGTCAGTCAACACTTTATATGCAGAAAAGACTAAACTATGAGAATAACAAAGCAGGAAACTAATACTTCAAGCAGGGAAATTCATTCCATTTTGCATCAGTTCAGAATCTGTGGATAATGTTACCACATATAGCAAGAGCTGATTGAAAAGGCCACTTTCCCCCCAGAATGCCCATGGTATAAAACACTTACCAAGTCCTTTTCCTTCAGATTTTCTATTAAATGATCCATTTTATATTGCTCCTTATTTGATATTTCTACTTCATACAGGCTGAAATAAACACCCTGAAAGCAAACTGCAGACAAAAGAAGAGAGAATTGGATGTTGAAGTAGTGCCTCTTGTATGGTTTCTGAACAAGTGCTCCTACACCAGGAAGATGCGTGTGCAACTGGTGGAAGCACTGGGGTTTAGCAAGACTTCCTAAGCTGGTATATGCAGTCACAGCACAGGCTGTTTCCTCTTCAGCCCATGCTTCATAGGAGATCTTTCCTATCTTTTCTCTCATTTCTATTTAACCAGTGCTGTGTGCTTCAACAGAGATAGGGAGCCTTTCAGAGGGAAATACCTCATTCTAACGTGCTTTATTCTCCCCTGCTATGAAGCATCCTTCTTTCAGACTCTGATCCTCAAGGGATGTTAACAAAGGTGTGATCTGGACCCACCGGACCCCTCTGAATTTCACAACAGGATTCTTCTGTTCAAGTATTTCCTCTCTTTCACCAGCAGGTCTTAAGATTGTGGCTCCAGGGCACCTTTAGCAAGTGTTGCTGTGGTCTCCCCCCACGTCTACTGCCTCTTCCCAGCACTATCCAGTGTCCATCTGCACTGTCAGCTGAATGTTAACCCCCAAAATAGCAGTGCCTCCACCTGGCTCAGCAGAGCTGGCAGGAGGCAATACTGCAGCAACCCACACTTACTTTGGTGCAAGACAGAATCATAGAATCAGCAAGGTTGGAAAAGACCTTTAAGCTCATCAAGTCCAACCATGGACTTCATCAAGTCCAAGATGACATGGAAATATACCTGGAGCTTCTGCAAATCACAGCAAGAGCTCTCCATGTACAACCTCCCCAAGAGGTGGAGTGTGACGGAGAGACATGTAGGGAGATCAGGTTAGAAGGGGTAAGTTTGTCTCCCTGCATTCGCTCTCAGTTACATCCTATTTGGTATCTTGCAGGATGGGAGCCCAGGTCTCTAAACAGGGTCTCCCACCTTGTTCTGCCAAAGATGAAAGAGCTGCTTTGGGAAGAGGATTGTATCACACCAGGAGACCATGTGAGGCACAAAGACATTCCTGTGCTGCCTTTGCCTTTCTCCTCACTTATCTGCAATTAGTCACACTTGAAGACAGGACCCAGCATGACGTGGAGCTCTGATCCCCCCAGCAATTCCTATGGCACAGCACAAGCAGGTTACTCACTGTGCTGGCAGGTTTTGCACTCACCTTCATTCCCAGTGTAATTTCTTTTCTCAAAGGCAGCCTCTGGTAGCTTTTTCTTCAAGTCAGACAAATCCATGACATGGTTAATGTCCAGGCTGGGAGGCCTGTGGCGATAAAGCAGCAGATGGTGAGAATGAAAGCAGAAAAGGCTCTTGGAATTAAGCATAGCAAAGAGTCCTGGTTGTCCTGTCACTGTGAAACCAGAGAGAGCAGCTCTGGAGAAGGCTGGAGGTGTTTGTGAACACCTCCAAACACTGATACTGGTGGCTGTGTTACTGGCTGTCACTGGCTGTTTCAAGTTTATGCTGCTTGGCTTCCGACTACTGAAGATTGTAAATATCTGTTGGATTTGGATGCTGGTTACTCCAAGTAGGTGATAGGACAAGGGAGAATGGCTTTAACGTGCCAGAGGGGAGACTGAGATGAGCTCTTAGGCAGAAGCTCTTCCCTATGAGGGTGCTGAGGTGCTAGCACAGGGTGCCCAGAGAAGCTGTGGCTGCCCCATCCCTGGCAGTGTTCAAGGCCAGGATGAACACAGCTTGGAGCAAGCTGCTCTAGTGGAAGGTGTCCCTGCTCATGGCAGGGGTTGGAACTGGATGAGCTTTTAGGTCCCTTCCAACACAAACCACTCTGTGACTCAACACTATTTCTATCATTCTGATCTGTAAACACATCTGGCTGATTGTACATCCACCACCAGGAAGCTCACTTCTCACAATGAGAAAAATCCCAAGCAGCAATAATTGATTTGGAATAAACATCCCAAAGCAGTTAACAGAAAAATAAAATGACAGAATACAGCTGTTTCCAGCTGCAGTTTGGTGGCTGATCTCATGTCCTCATCCAGCTGTGGCTGTGACACTGCCCAACATCACTTTCCTGACACTGATGATTGCTCCAATAATGTTGGTACACCTCCAAGGAGATGCTGATCAATGAAGTGATGGGAAAGGAGAGACAAAGCTGGTTTTTACTGGTACACACACCCAAAGGTGTAATGCTGCACACTCAATATTGCACAGAGAGAAAAGTGCAACTTACAGCTGGGCTGGGATCTTGGAGCTGTGTGGGGTCCTCAGGGCGATGCTGCAAAGACGTTGGCCCCGGATGGAGAGCTGCCCCCTCCAGGGACAATACAATGCTACAGGGAAAAGGGAGAAGGGCTCAGAGAAACCAGGACAGGAAAGGAACAGATAAAGGTACATTTATAAGCCAAACCCAACCCCCAGTTGCTCTTACCTTTGCGGTTAAGCTCAGGTCTGGAGAAAAAAAGAGAGAAAGAAGAACATTTAGCAATGGGCAAAGGAAAAACCAGCCCACAAAAGCAACTGGGTGCTTTGGAACAAGTTGCTTACAGGCTCTCTATGGCCAAGACAGGCATTTCCTTCGGCTCCCTGTACTGGCAGGTGATGATGATGTAGGGGCAGATCTGCCTGGGCCGCTCTGCAGTGCTGCCACCAGACACTTCATACACGTAGTACTGGGGTTAGAAGGGAAACATGGATGAGAAGAACAAGGTGAGGAAGGACAATACCGTGTCCCCCTGCAGCCCACAAGTGAGGTGACTGCACAGTCCTGTTGCAAACTCATACCTGGCTCTGCTCAAAGGCCAGGCAGTGACTGGTCTTTGATGGTAGGTTGCTTCTGCTCATGCCAACGTGGCAGTCATAGCCGGGAGATGGGCAGGTATAGCTGGTTGTGTAATTCTCAGAGATCACCTTCACCTTCCCCTGTACCACAGAATTTACCCAGAAAAAGAGGAATACATATAATTATTCACAGAAACTTCTTTTAAAGACCCCTAAATCCTCTTCATTCCCCCCCCCCAAGACTGTTGCTGACAGCCCCACACTCCCCACCAGTGTGCTGATGTCCTTCAAACATGAGGGCCTGACTAGACCATGTTTGGCATGGCAGATAAATCTGCACTGCTCAGGAGGGCAAATGGGAGCAGTGTGGGTTTGGTGCTCCCTATAGGGAGCAGGAGCCAGTGGGGAGAGAAGAAAAAGGCCACACATCAGCCCCACGGAGGAATAGAATGGGGCTGTGATCAGAGCCACTTTATGGCTCTCCCAAACCTCCAAAATGCATCAGAATCCAGGCAAAAAGATGATCCTACGGGGAATTTCTGATCTCAGCAGTGGAATTTGGAAGGTCCTTTGCTGCTCTTCAGGCCACCAGTCAAGTCCAGTTGAATCTCTTGCTTTCCAGCCTGACACATCCCAACAAGCTCTCAACAGAGCTGATTTTACACCCCACAACAGCCATGGGCTCCTTGAAAACCACTTGCATTGTAGAGCAGCTTCTGAAAACCATTCCAGATATAAAGACAGACTTTCACTTACCTTAATCAGCTTACAAATGACAATATAGCCTGATTTTCCATGATACCAGGGTCTTGGATGGAGACAGTCTGCATGCTTGGATATATAAACCCCTGTGAAGACAAAGCAATGCAAGATCAGTTAAATCAAGTGCTCAGAAACACATGCTCAGATGTGTCTCTGAGCAGTTTCCACACTACATGAAAACACATCAAATGCGGGCTTGTCTCTTATAGCAAGGTTTAGTGAAGGGCTTACAGGGTCTGACAGCAAGTGGAGCAGGTATCCTGCTCAACTTGGAGTCATGCAAGGGCAACATGGATGTTTACACATGAGGAACACACACTACAAAGGCACAAGAGCAGGCCCATAGCATGGCACAGACCCTCCCAGGTCCCTTTCTTGGCTCTTTATGGCCTTCAGCATCTCAAAGGCCAATGGGAACCTTCTACCCTGTGACAAGCCTATTCTGACATGGCTTATTCCCATCCCTTCCCTATGCTCATATATGTATATATCAGGGTAGTGCGTTGGCTCTTCACTACTGTTTTGTGGAGAAGTCCATGGGTGGAAATGGAAGCTACAAAGAAACACACCATAATATGCATCCCAGTCCATCAGGAATAAGACAGCAGATAAATAACCAGTTCCTGCTTGGTTTTGCAAGCCCTGCCATTGACTGTTCAATGATTAGGTGTCTTAGCCTGCAGACACTTGCAGGATGAGCACTGGGAGACGTTCTGCTTCTGGCTGAAGGAATTCTTTGAGCAGCACATCCTGCACTGCACACCTTGAGTTTCTGCATCTCTGAGCAAGGAATAAGCACACACTGAGAAGGGCTTTGACATATCACAAGCTGCTCTGCTTACTAACAGGACTATTGGCAGAAGCTCAGAGAATGGACTCTAAAGAGCAAAGCAGTGGAGAAAGCTGCCAAAAAGCCACTTTGGTGACAAGGGTCGGTATTAACAAGGGAGAAAAAAGCCTGAAATAGAGAGGTGGAGACACAGTAACATTCCCTGGGGATGATCCTATCCTCAACTTGTTGAAGGGGCAGAAGGAACATACTGCTGCTTGAATGATCTGAACAAATGCAGTTTCTCATGTAAGAAACAAAGGATCTTCCATGGGGGTTTGCAGTAAATACAAGGCAGGACGAGGAGTTTATCTGGGCTTTTGATTTTGGTTTTAAAGGAGTCAACATCCCCCAGAAGAGGGAACATGTCTCTTGGTTCTGTACAGGGAAATCTTACCTTTGGCTGGGTCACCAAGTATGGAAATGGAGCTGCTGTTCACACGCAGGCCTGTCTGACACACTTCTTTTGCCTTCAAAAGAAGAAACAGCCTCTTTTACCATCTATTTCCAAAGCTAAGGGACACGGCTGTTGAAATCTGCAGCACAACAGTTGGCAAAATACATGCAAGGGGCAAAGATGCTGCAAGTCAATCACAGATCATTACAGCCCCAAAACATCTGTGGTAGAAAGGAAATTAAACACAGTGTCCATAGGTAGAATGAACAGGAAGAAAATGTGTTGTTTCAGCTACTAAATGCTTCTATTTATCAAGTGTTGTTACAGAAAACCTCCATGGATGCAAAAGCTTAGAGAAATCTGGGAAAAAAGCAGATTCAAAGCGTGCAAAGTCCAAATATATATTGACCAAAGAAGGACAAAAGGAGCTGTTTGAACTCATTATGGGCAAGAACTAAAAGCAAACCAGGGAAGCTGCTGTCAGTCCCTTTATAAGCAACATGGGGCACTCATTACACCTAACTCCAGCCTCCTAGAAGTGTCTAGCTTAGACTAGACACTAGCTTAGGCTAGACACTAGCAAGTGGCTAGCTTAGACCAGCCCACAAGGCTTCTCCTCTGAACAACAGGGACAGGGACATCCAGAGAGCGATTTGGCCCAAGCCTTTGAGATCCCTGCATGACATGAGGTCCTCTAGAGAGCTCCCTCTTTCCCATGGGCTGTACAAGGAGCTCAGGCACAAACTGGGCTAAACTTCAAACAGCAAAAGGCTGAAAGGCTGAGAGCTGGAGAAGAGAAGGCTCCTTAAAGGGAGACCTTAGAGCAGCTCCCGTGCCTAAAGGGGCTACAGGAAAGATGGAGAGGGACTTTGGACAAGGGCCTGTAGGGACAGGCCAAAAGGAATGGCTTTAACCTGCCAGAGGGGAGACTGAGATGAGCTCTTAGGCAGAAGCTCTTCCCTTTGAGGGTGCTGAGGCGCTGGCACAGGGTGCCCAGAGAAGCTGTGGCTGCCCCAGCCCTGGAAGCATTCAGTAGTTGAATGGAGAGATGTGAAATCAGATCCAGCACTAAAACCTTCCAGAAGCTGCTTTCAGAACTTGCTCTGGACTATTTATACTGTAGCAATTGCACTGGTGAAGAGGGTACAGAGAGGCAGGACACTTCAGTCAACACATCTGCTGGGCTTTGGTGAGACACAGCACACATGCAGGCACTTTGCATCAAACTTAAGCTGAACAAATATTCAGGTTACCTCTGCTTCATTATCAAACAGGAGAAAGGCAAAGGTCTCCTCCAGCTCCTCCTGGCTGTACCCAGCAGCTTCCTTTGCTTGGGCAAAAGCTTTGAGCTGCAGAAGACACAACACCACTTTGTTCTAGTCCATTCATACCAAAGCCAAGTGACATGAGTTCTTGGTGTGAGCACAGTGTGACCCATGCACCTCCAGTCATGGTCACTATGGAGCAGCTGCCACCAGCCATGTGCCCACACAGCATTCCCTCCCCAAAGCATCCTCCAGTACATCCAGTCTCCCACCACCAAGACCCCAATCCATGTGCAGTCAGTCCATCTGTCCCTGCCTCTGTCCCCAGCAGAACATGTTCAATGTCCTCCATGGGACAGCAGGCACATCCAGCCCTGTGGTGTCACACTGTGTTCATCCCCAGGAAGTCCAGCCTTAATCCACTTTGTCCCTCTTGCCCAGCTGGCTACTGGGGAGCTGGTTTCACTGAGCAGCATGTGGGCTTGTAGGGCATCACATTTAGCAGCCAGCTAAAGCCATCAGAAGAAAAAATCATCTCAACCATGGAGAAGATGCCTCCAGAAGGGGAGATGCTTGTTGACACTTCTCCCTCTGCTCATCAAGAAAGCCTAGAATATTTGACTAGAGACTATCATGAGACTACAGCTCAGAGAGTTTGGCTACGGCCAAATAACACATTGCTCTGATTTCTTTTGTCTGATAATGAAAGCAGAGCATGTTCCCTGGGCAAACAGTGGAGAACACCATGGGAGCAACAGAGCTGAGTGTGAGTTCGTGAGGATATGGGGCTTTAACAGAAGTTGTAGAACTACAAGAACATTTTTAGGTGGGGTTAGAAGATGAGAAAACAACAAACTCATCACAGCTTTGGCTTTAGAACTCAGGCAAATCAACAAATTACTTGATACTGTTTTCCCAGTTTTTTATCCAGCACCACAGTGATAATCCCAGATTTAGGCAGCCAGAATGTCTTTGCTGTATTTAAGTCATGACAACAAGCAGTGTGGTCTCCCCAGGGAACACAGCCTGTCTTCCACACCAGTGCCCCATCCCTGGCAGTGTTCAAGGCCAGGTTAGACACAGGGGCTTGGAGCAACCTGCTCTAGTGGAAGGTGTCCCTGCCCATGGCAGGGGGTTGGAACTGGATGAGCTTTAAAGTCCCTTCCAACACAAACCAGTCGGTGATGCTATGATTCTATGACAGCAGGATGAGATCGTTTTAGAAATGATTCTCTACACACTCCAGTCAGCTGGAGAAAGAGAAATGGGGTTAAAACTGGTGCCTGCACAAGGGTAATGGCAGACAAAAGAAACAGCACCTGGAAATCTGCCTCAGTGTCAATCAGCATAACAATAAAGTCAAAGCCCTCCAGCCAGGAATCAAACCAGGACTTCAGCCTGCCCTGAAGGCCTTCTCCAGAAGTGCTGCTGAATGTCTGACTACCCTGGCTCAATGGGTCTTTGGCTGCTGATCAGACTGGGAAGGAAGTGAAAGAAAGGAAAGAAAAGGCTCCCTTCAGCCAGGAACTGGAGATGCAGCTCTGTGAGGCACCAGGTCAGCCCCATGCTGCAAAAGAAAGACATACCTTCCAATAAACCAGCATCTCCAGACACTGCATCTCCCAAAGAACCACCCTCCTTACTCCCCAGTTCTTACCTCCCTTAGGAAAACATCATTTTCCACCAGGATTGCTTGGCTGTAGAGAAACCCATCCTGAGATGTGGAGTCCAAGTAGGAGCTCTGCAGCACCGAAACCGCTTTCTGCAATAGAGAACTCGACTCTTCCGACTCCGGATTCCAACCTGGAGTAAAGCAGCAAAACGCAGGTACAAATATTAACTCTGGGCATCCCTAGAGCAGTGTGAGGCTCAGCAGAGGCAGCTGAGAGTGACTCACAGTGCTCAGACCCCACTTAACAAGCCCAGAGCTCCACTGAGCAGATCTGGCTCCCCTCCAGCCATGCAAGCCCCAGGTTTTTGTCTGCAGGTTAAACTACCTTTCAGCAGGAGGAATTCCAGCTCCCAGTTTGCCAATAAGCCCTTTGCAACACAAAAAAAAAAACCCAAGACATCAGTAGAAACTGCCAGAAGCAAAGCCTGGTGGTAAAGCTGAACAGAACAGGGGTTTCTCTTGTGTTAAAGTTACTTAGATTCATTGTGTGCTCTTTTCATGTGAGAGTTGATGTCTAAAATCTCAGCGCACACTCAGTTTCTTGGGGTTATCTGTTTGACTCTAAAGAGGTTCAGGTCTTGAGTGAATGTGGTTTTCAATGCCACAGGAACAAACCTTCCCTCAAAGCCTCCACAGGCAGAGCGTTCTGAAAGCCCAAACTCTCTCCAGACATCCAAACATCCCAGTAAAACCACTCCCAACAGCATCTCACCAAGAAGAGGTCCCAAAGCAGTTGACAAATGAAATGTGGATGGAGAAACAAAGGAAAAAGCCATTCAGATGTTAAAATCCAAATAGTAAATGAAGTAGCCACTTAGAAACACAGGAAATCCTGGGCTCAGCCCCTGCTGCACATTTAAAAGCCTTTACTGCTATTCATGAGCTATGAGATTCCAAGTCTCAAGCTGTGTTTGCAATCTGAACACATTGAGAAGGTTTATTTCTTCTGGCCCATAAACAGTGACAAGCCAAGGGGAATGGCTTTAACCTGCCAGAGGGGAGACTGAGATGAGCTCTTAGGCAGAAGCTCTTCCCTGTGAGGGTGCTGAGGCGCTGGCACAGGGTGCCCAGAGAAGCTGTGGCTTCCCCATCCCTGGCAGTGTTCAAGGGCAGGTTGGACACAGGGGCTTGGAGCAAGCTGCTCTAGTGGAAGGTGTCCCTGCCCGTGGCCAGGAGTTGGAACTGGAGGAGCTTTATGGTCACTTCCAACACAGACCAATCTGGGATTCTATGATTCTATCTTCTTCACCAGCTTAAACAAGCCCAGCTCTGACTGCTCCTCATGTCCCCAAAGCACAGGACTGCAATGGGAGCTATTTAATTTCACAGCTACTGCTCCAAACCATCTCACTTTTCAGGGTGAGATGTTCTGCTCCTCCTGACAGCATCTCACAGCTCTGCATCCTCAAATTTGGGGTCTTGGAACATGAGAAAGGCCACGTCTAAATGCGTGAGCTGGGAGCCAGTTGTGTGTTTCCACACTGAATATGTGAGACACCAAGATGATAAAGAGAGATCATGAAGTTAAACCTCAATGGGCACAGAGCACATATTGAGGATATGAGGTGTTAAATCACCAAAAGCATCGGATATTCACTATTTTTCAGGGGTGAAAGCCTGGAAGCTCTTGGAAATGCAACAGAACCAGCAATTTTTGCATGTGAAAACTCAACCATTTGCTCCTCCCTGCAAGCTCAGCTGCAGTGTTCAAATGAAAGCCCAAATGGGGAAAAAACCCATCAAAGTTGCTGCAGTAATAGAGAAATACATGAAATAAACGCTGATAGCAAGGGAGCACACAGCCACCTTTGCAGCTATTAACATCATTTGCCAATGCTGAAAGTATGAGGAAAGGCTGAGAGAGAGGTGGGACTCTTCAGCCTGGAGAGAAGGAGGCTCAGGGGAGACCTTTATCCCCATGCTCTAGTAGTTAAAGGTGGCTACAAAGAAGATGGAAGACTCCCTTTTGACAAGGAATCACATGGAAAAGATGAGGGGTGATGGGCACAAGTTATTCCTAGGGAAATTCCAACTGGACACAAGAGGAGAATTTTCCACCATGAGAACAATCAGCCATTGGAATAATCTCCCCAGGGAAGTGGTGGATCCCCAACTAAGTTCCCAGTGCTGGACACTGTTCACTGGGTGCTGCTGGGACATGTAGTCTAGGTCATGCTTTCCCAAGAAAGGTTGGACCAGATGATCCTTGAGGTCCCTTCCAACCTGGCATTCCATGATTCTACGATAAGGCTCATCTTCCCCTTGTGCTGTGGCTGTGTGGACATCATCCTCCAAAAGCCCTGTGCTCCTTGGAAAGCTGCTAACTTACTCTTTCCTCCTCCTTCCAGGCTTAAAGCCAACTCCTTTGGACTTTCCTCCCTGATTCCACCTGCAAACATCTCAACATGGCCTGTTCCATGCTCTGCAAAGCACTGGCTGAAGCCAGCAGACATACATAGCCCATATGCTTCATGGGAGTTGCACATCTTTCCTGCCCTTTTCCATTCAAGGAATGCCCATCAGAAAGGCCAGCTGAGGCCAACAGACATGTACTTCCCAAACCCAGGACCCTCTTTTGGCTCATTTTCATGTCACCTCTGGATCGCCTCACCATGCAAAGACTTCTGAAGTCAGGCCAGGAGGAAACCCCACAGCTTTTGAACCACTGGTACAGGGAAGAGAGATACTTTTCTTCCCAGCTTTTAGATTTACCTTAAAGTTTCAATGAATGCTGTCACATCTCCAAAACCCTGCAACCCAGGGTGGTCAGTGCATATTAAACACTGCCACTGGTCACCCATGGGGCTTTCAATCTGTCCTCGACACTGCTGCTCCTACATGGTCCCTTCCCCATCCTGCTGCTCTTCATGCAGGATTTCCCTCATTTTCCTGGCTTTAGTATGGAGTCCTAAGAGCAGGCATCACTGGCAGCATCACTTCTGGTACCACCACATCCCATTCCATACCAACAGTTCACATACTGCCAGCTGAGACTCCATAAGATCATTGAATCATCCTCCCAATTTCTCTGGTTCTGCTGAAGTCCATTTTCTCTCTTCCATTTCTAATCTCTCATTTTGCTGCTCTCACTCTAGTTTTTCCTTTCTCATCATCTCTAGCAGACAGGAACCATTATAGGAACTCTCCCTTTTAACTCTAAGTTATGAAACCCATGGTACCACATGCTTGAGCAGATATTACCTGCAAACTTCTAGCTACAGGCTGCTGATGGAGCAGCCCCAAAGGCAACGTGGTAAACTCACAAAGGACATTTCTTGAAGCAGAAGCTCTGAGACATCCTTGAGAAGCTCAGCCAAAACCTCCTTGATGGGTATAGCCAGAAGGACAAAGAAATTGAGACCATGAACTGACCTTCCAGGGAAGCAGAAGTTGGAGATAACTATCCTGGGAATTGATGTCCTGCACCCACTGATGTATTTACACCAGAAAGGTATAAAAAGTAGCTCACTATCTACCCAAAATGAGCTTCTCTGCAAGAGCTTCCCTGTATGAGACCTCCTGGACTTGGAACATACACAGATTTGCTTTACTCTTGTAATACATATCTACCTGCTTTCCTAGTGGCAATTCTGTAGTGACTTGTGGCATATATTTATATATATATATGCGTATGTTTGGTTTACTAATAGTAGTTTTCTAGTAATTTGTAATAAAGAAGGTCTCAGAAGTGTAGACTCGCACATCTTTGTGTATTGTAGAGTCCTGAAAACTCTGTGGTCACAATCTACCCACTTGTGAGCTGGTCACATCACAAGTTGTGACCATGACCACTACACCTTTACAACCCAACTTTTACAATGAATCCTGGCTCATCACTGCTGAAACAGAGAGCCACTTTCTTCTTTCTATTTAAGCCCAAAACTGAGCTAAATTAGCCAAACTAAGCCCAAAATCACCACCTCCCACAAATTTGATGATCTTGAAGGTCTTTTCCATTCTCGTTGATTCTGGAGCAGGAACACATCATGTTTGCAAAGTAACAAGGTGTTAACCACAAGAGATGCTTCTGGCTGCTGTAAAGTATTTCCAGGTAATGATGGGATGTGAATTAAGCTTACATTTACTCAGCAGGAGTAACCAGCAAGGAGCTGTAGCACAAACGACTCACTGCTAGCTGCTGTTTGGTGTATTTGCAAACACATCACCCAAGGCAGACCCCAGAGATGGCTCTGTGCTGCACTGCAGAGCTAATCCCACCATGGAATAGGTGTCTTGTGCCCACAGACACCAGTCCAGGGCATGGGTACCATGGCATCAAAGCCACAAATTAGTTTCCTTGGCATATTTGAGCCTCTCCAGATTTTCTTGTGGTTTAGTGTGGGTTCTTCAAAGCCTTTTGGTCTCAAAACACACTCTCCTGCACCAGACAAGTGCCTTGTTCCTGCCATTATCAGCAACTTTTACAGATTTGCTGCTTCCCAGCAATTTTATCTTTCACTTTCTCACCTTTTCCCTTCCTGTTTCTTCCACTCAGAAACACAGAGAACTGTTCTAACCTTGTGCCTGTCAGCCTGATGAGCAGAGCTGGCTGAGGTAACGGATCTGATCTAAACCAAGCATCAACAGAGCCAACACAGATGAGATATTACATGCACCAGAGGCAGATGTTGGGCAAAGGAAGGGCTACCAGGACAGGCTTGCGCTTATGGTCCAGCCCAAACAAGACCTCTGGCTTAAATTGGGCTGATGGAAGCATTTGCAGAGATGAGGAGTTGTTGGAAAATGAAAGGAGAAAAGACCTCCCACTAAGGATGGAAAAGATGGATCAGGTTCTACCATGGGATGTCTGGAGAGCTACTAACAAGAACTAGCATTTTCTGAAGGTGTCACCATGGGATGCTGCAGATGAGTTCAAAAATCAGCTTTATGGGGGTAGAAAAATATCCTACTGAATGCAAATATCCAACCTCCTCCTCAGACGGCCCCTGAGCCACAAACCTGCATGAGTTTTCAGAAGAAAGAGTGCTTTACCTTTGTTCATATGCTTTCCCTGACCTATTCCAGGTCACCCCTGGAAGTGATACCAGCCAAGGTGGATATTTGGTCTTAGCTGGGGCAGCCCACTAAATCAGCACTAGGTTTCACCCCTACTCCACCACAGGCAGAGCCA